ATATCGTTTTGGAAGTAAATGCAGATAATTTATCTGCTGCAGAAATATTTTTATGTTAATGGAAAATGGAACCATATATCCTTGTTGTTTTAGGCCATTGAACCTCTCTCGTACACTAGACGTGGGGATTTCTTTTATGCACGCATGCTACCCAAATTAAATTAACATCTATTGATATTCTTCAAAAGAGACTTAGATAATCAAGTAATTAAAAAATTAAGAAAGGGGTTTTCCCTCTTTTGACTTCATTTCATTAGGATTGTTTACCCCTCATTTAGAAGCTTCACGTCATTTGAGTAGATGATTAGTTAATTAAAGTTAACTTTTGGCTTATAATAATAGTCACAAAACACACTTTTTATTCAGTGTGTGCGTCGATCTTCACTTTAATTAGGGTGAATTAATCATAGTTAACAATATTTATTAGAACAAAGGACATTTCAATAGCTGCTTAAAGGGGGTGTTTGATAAGAGGTGAAATTTTTTTTTTCTCATGAAAATGAGGTGGCCCATGTTTGGTAGGAAAAAGAGTAAACGTAAGGTTAAGAAAAAAAAAATTCCATCGTTTGCTTTTTCACATAAAATTGTCATGAAGATTGCCATTGACGGGGGTGGAAACAAAAATTTCCCACGCAGTGGGAAAATTATCACATAGTATCACTAAAATTAATTAACCCAACATTTCCATAAAAGTTTTAGTCTACCAAACATCTTTTAGTAACTTATCCAGAAAAAAATATTTCTCATCATTTTTCGAAAATTATTTTTTTGCGATAAATTTTTTTTTTCTCTACCAAACGTCTCTTATTTCTTTCTTGGCTTTAATATTTCTACAGTGAATGTAAATAAATTATCTATATTCGCTCTCAAAACGACATCATTTTGGGTTAAAAAATTATAATGAAAAAGACTATTATAATCCTGAAATAAATTATAATTATAAAAATATTTTAATTTCAACCTCAAAACGACATTATTTTAGATTCAATGTAAATAATAGAAAAGCCGCACCTTCTTTCTTACTCGTCCAAATAAAAACTGATCTTAAAAATAGCCCAAGTCAAGTAGCTACCTTTTCAGGTGTGTTAGGGACTTCAAAGTTCAAAGTTCGACTCTTGTGGACTTAGCCAGCTCGCAGGTCCTATATTTAAATTCTTCTCATTTGTATGTTGGGGATGGCTGTATAAGCAATTTTCCAGTAATTCATTAATACATGTTCAACAATGATCATTCAAGAACATGATACAGGATCTTTAGAATTCATGATTTTCACATAAGAGCGTACCTTTCTCCATTAGTGCGGAAGAACTCTGATGAAGAACTTTGATGATGGAAGATTGTTTCTCAGAGTCTTTACCCTCTGCTTTCCTTGTATCGTCTATGACAGGGATCTGATACAACTTTTATGGGCAGACCATGAAGGAGAGAATTCTGAGAGATAAAAATCCCAGAGACTCACCATTTTTCTCTTTATATAACTGAACCATATCACCAGTTACGGAGTTTCAAATAACTCCCTGTAACTTCCCATTAATGCGAAACGTCAAAACGTCAATTACCATTAATGTAAAACGTTACCATAATGCAAAACGTCAAAACGTCAATTACCATTAATGCGAAACGTCAATTACCATAAAGCCTCTTTTATTATTTAATTAAACCGATTGACACACGTTACACATGAGACACAAATAGTTTTACAGGCTGCACTCCCAAATCTAAATTTATTCCCCTAATTCCATCAATGGTTAGAACTTAGAAGTATACTCACAACACGTTGCCATATATTTAAATAAAAAGATAAAATGCAAGCCTATACCACTTTCTCCTTAATTATCATACCTAACTTGGATTTCAACTTGAGACCAAGTCCTTTGAAATGGCTTTAATTTGATGATCAATAAGCATATGTCTTGTATACATATTTAGCCCCATCTAATGGATGTCTTTGTGAGTTTAAACTTTTCAGATCAATGCGACTCACTTCAGATTAAGGGGAAATAATAGGAAATAGAAGAAATAAAATAAATATGACTCATTCACAGGTGATAAACGAGCATAACACTTTTATGTGCCATATGTTGCCTTCATTATGTGTTGCAGAAAGGCAGAAGCTAACTACAGCTGTATCTTTTTTAAAATACCAAACAAAAATACAGAAGGAAGTAAAAATGATTGGACCAAAAGACCAAACAAAATGGAATGAAATAATTTCCAGAAGTAAACACAAGCTGTCCATCCATTAGTTTTGCAATACTCTTTATTGGTGAAACTTATTAGAAAACGTTTTTAAAATAATTTATGTGTTTAAATTTTGGTACAAGTCTTTGAGGTGAAATAAAAAATGGTTTAACTAAAATAAATCAGTAGTTTCATTTTTATTGGTTATAATTTTTATTATGAGTGTTTGTCTTTTAAAAAAACATAAAATTGTATCATTTTAGTCAAAATTAATATATTTTATGACGAGAGAAACAAAAGTTATGGTGAAAAAAGTAAGAGTTTTTTTTTAATTTAAATATTAAATAAAAAAATATTAATTTTAACTAATATAATTAACCTTTAAAAGGATAAATATTTTATCCTTTTATTATAATTTAAAAATAAAGTGATTAGTTCTTTAGGATACAAAGTTATTAATTGAACTGTGCATCAAATAAAGCAATTTAACCGTTGCATGGTCTTTTTCCTTTGTTCCCCACAAATATCCTAAACCACCTTGAAGCGTGCAGCTTTGCTTTTTCTTTTTCATTAATTGCAGTCACTTTAATGATAGTCAAACTCACTTTGTTCTTTTTTGAATAAGGGGCTTCCCTCATCATAGGCATGCCTCGCATTTATATTGGTTGTTGAGCCAACTGTCCTCACACATTATGCAATAAGCATCCCTCCGCAGACAAGGTAAGCGTTCAAGCTTCATCCAAACAAATCATAATAATGCAACCTTTCATGCTATATTGTAAAATTATTTTAATGTAACGGGCAAGTAAGTTCCCTCAATATTTTCAAACATTAAAAAACATCAATTTAAAAAGGTTCACTCATAAGGACAATATCCCACCTCAGCTCTATCTTAGAAGGCCAAGTGAAGTAATGATCCAACCATAAATCCAGTGGCGGAGCCGGCCTCTAATTTGAGCTAGGATCAAAAAATTATATATGTATTTATTTTTTTTAATTTTAATTAATTCATATCTTAATATATTTAAATTATATTAAATACATAGCATCTGAGCAGACAGCACTAAGAAGAATTATAATTTTATTAAATATTTTTTAATTTTACTTAAAATGTATATTTTTTAATGGCTTTAATGTTTCTAAAGTGAATGTAGATAAGTTATCTACATTTGCTCTCAAAACGACGTCGTTTTAGGTTGAAATTAAAAAATTATAATGAAAAGACTACTAATCCTGAAATAAAATTAATTATAAAAATACCTTGATTTCTGCCTTAAAACGACGTTATTTTGGGCTTGATATACATAAGTTATCTACATTGACCGTAGAAAAAGTGAACTCATTTTTTATATAAGTTAAAATTGAACACATAACCTAATATAATTTACCCAAATTTATCAAAAATATTTTAAGTTTTAGATAGGGCCAAATTATAAATTATAGCCCGGGCTAAATTATAATTTTAATCCGGTCAAATTATAATTTATATAATTATACATAATAAGTACAATTTATTAAAATTTAGCCTAAATCGAGACCCGGTCCAGCCAATACATGGCTCCGCCACTCATAGAACTTTTTTTTTTTCTTGGATTGATCTGTAACACTTAAACCTTAAGCAAGCTTTGCCCGAAAGTACTTAGAAGAATTCTAAGGAGTTTTTTTTTTCTTTTTTCTTTTGGACTCATCGATAATGCCGGCTAAAATAACGACCATTCTGTCCTCCACTTACTGTTGCTTTCAAGTACCTAGCTCCACCTTTTCAAAGCTATAATTTTACACTCACAAATATGTCATTCTTCAACCATACCAAAAGATTTTTTTTCAGGAGATATTGTCATTAGACCAAACGTAATAGCTAAATAATTTGCTTGCCGTATTTGCGCCTTTTTAGAGAATCAAATTAGTGACCTTCGAGTGTTACCGAGGGATAAATCTTTCGTGCTACTGTAATACCAAAGATTCAATACATCTCACCAATAGAAATATTACATGTCAGTCAAAGTTTTTTTTCTCTGCCAAATTTTTTCTCTCTCCTCTAATGTGCAATGCTCCTATTAGTGGAATGCACTGAGTCTAAGTACTAGAGTAGCACCAAAAATTTATTTGTTACCGTGGTAGAATAGTGGTTTTACCATTCTCATAAAACTAAACTCATGGTTTTAAATAAAGTAACATTAGCTACTCTGCATGTCATTTTACACAAGCTGTGCACATTGCACTCAACTTATGCAAAACAAAATTATATTAGCAGCATTTCTCTTTTATATTATATATGCAACATCAAAATCTTTCATTACTGTCTACTAAAATAAATAAAAAATAAAAATCTTTCATTACTTTCTATGTAAAACTCATGTTTTCTGTAATTGTGAATAAATCACTTTAGAAAAAAAGTGGATAAGTTGACTTGGGAATGGAAAGGAAACACTAGTTAGCAAAAAATAATTCAATTAGGTGCAAAAGGAATTGTTTTTCCTTTTTTAATAACGTGCATGGAAATCTCCCAAAGCATACATCACCACAATCATGGCTTGTTGGACACTACAATACTACATATTAATTGGCTAGTGGGACACAGTATTAAGAGGTCAACTTGGCAAACTATGAAAGATACAGTCAAGTTGTGCTGCCTGACCTTGTCAATGTGTTCATACAGTGCCGTATCCACACACATAAATTATAATTATAATTCACAAACCAACAGAGATATTCTGTAACTTTCTGTATGTGTGTTTCTTACAGAGAAAGTATCAATAAATCCAATAGCAGGATAACTATCAAACTAGTATATATATATATAAACCAGAATTGTCTGTGAGTGCAAAGAAGAAAAAAAAATGCAGTCACTTGTCCAAAATGAGGCCTTCCAAGCATGCCCTCAAGGTTGCTGCCCTACCTCATTTTTCAACTCTCCACTGCCATCTCAGAACACAACAAGCAAACCCAGAAACAGTTCTTCTGAGTGTCGCCACAGCTTTGCAGCAACAACTGCATCCTCTATATTTCCAAACACCAAATTCACTAACCATGAGTCTCTTCCATCTCTTCAGGAATCATTCAGTGAATTCAACAAAGTGTACCCTAAATACTCTGAGACTGAGCAAGTGGACCTTGTGAGAGCCAAAGAATATTACCATCTCTCTTTCTCCAACAATTCTTGCCTTGACTATATTGGTATTGGCCTCTTCTCCTACTATCAACGTCAACACCATGATACTTCAAAAACCCAACTTGCTTCTTCTTCAACTCCTCAAACACCTCAATCTCCACCTTTATATTCGGATATTCCCTTCTTTAGCATATCCTATAAGACTGGGAATCTGAAGAATTTATTGCTTCATGGAGGGCAGGGGTCAGAGTTTGAGTCTGCAATGAGGAGAAGATTAATGAGGTTCCATAACATTTCTGAAAATGATTACTCTATGGTTTTCACAGCAAACAGAACATCAGCTTTCAAACTTGTGGCAGATTCATATCCATTCCAATCTAGTAAGAAGCTTCTGACAGTTTATGACTATGAGAGTGAGGCGGTGGAAGCAATGATTAGTTGCTCAGAGAAGAGAGGAGCGAGGGCCATGTCAGCAGAGTTCTCATGGCCAAGACTCAGGATTCAATCAGCGAAGTTGAGGAAGATGATTGTTAATAAAAGGAAGAAGAAAAAAAAGAGGGGTCTTTTTGTGTTCCCACTTCATTCAAGGGTAACAGGAGCCAGATACCCTTATCTGTGGATGAGCATAGCACAGGAGAATGGGTGGCATGTGTTGATTGATGCTTGTGCATTGGGACCCAAAGACATGGATAGCTTCGGCCTCTCTCTCTTTCGCCCAGACTTTCTCATTTGTTCTTTCTATAAGGTTCTGGGAGAAAACCCATCTGGGTTTGGATGCCTTTTTGTCAAGAAATCTGCCATTTCAATTCTGGAATCCTCTTCTTGTGCAGGAGTTGTCAACCTTGTACCAGAAAGGCAGCTACTTCAGCTATCAGAGGATTCTTCTGGTAATGACATAGCAATTGAACAAAAATCAATTCCTAGCTTACAAGAAAAAGAATTATCTTCTTTGAGTTCTTTCTCTGGTCGGATAGAGACCACACAATCTGTAAAAATTGAAGGAGAACCATCTGAGCTTCAGATCACAGTGGTACCTGAAGATTCTGTAACTGTGGAAGAACAAAGGCCAGTTGAGAGACTTCAGAATGAAAATGAACAAGATAGTGAAAACGGGAGCTTTAATATTGAATGCAGGTGTTTGGATCAAGTGGACTCTTTAGGATTGATATTGGTCACCAACAGAGCAAGGTACCTGATAAATTGGCTGGTGAACTCAATGCTGAAGCTAAAGCACCCTAACGCAGAAGGGGTTCCCCTAGTCAAGATTTATGGCCCAAAGATAAAATTTGACAGGGGTCCTGCTTTGGCATTCAATGTGTTTGATTGGAAAGGTGAAAAGGTTGAGCCTGTCCTTGTACAGAAACTTGCTGATAGAAGCAATATTTCTCTCAGCTATGGATTTCTACATCATATCTGGTTTGCAGATAAGTATGCAGCAGAGAAGGGAAGGGTCCTACAAACCAAAGAAGGAAGAGGCCAGGGAATGAATACCAACAAGAAGAAAGATCGAGATAACCTAGGAGTAACAGTGGTTACTGCTGCATTGAGTTTCCTGGCTAATTTTGAAGACATGTATAAACTATGGGCTTTTGTTGCTCGGTTCCTTGATGCAGACTTTGTGGAGAAGGAGAGATGGAGATACACAGCTCTCAATCAGAAAACAGTTGAAGTTTAATCATATATATTTCATTTATTCTTCTGGATTGTGGATCATAGAAGACTCAAGAGTGTGAATTCGGATGAAGATTTTATATAGATTCTCCAATTAATATAGTCAACTTATCGAATCATTTGTCTGATAAGTTCACAAACTATATAGACAAATATATTATTTCCTTTTACTTGTTTCCTGTATTTTGTCACTGCATGCACATTCAGACAGCTCCATAACTCTACACTGGACATTGAAACAAATTACAGCTAGAGAGTGAAATATATAATCTAATTCAAGGAAAAAAAGTCAGGATACCCATATAACTTATCACAGAAGTGTAAGTTCCAGTACTAGTAACTGTGCTTTAATGATACTTCTGGTTGTTTGAGAAAAATCAATCTACGAATAATTAACATCAGTGGCAGAGTCAGGAAAAAGACTCCATCAGCGTCAAAAGAATCAACTAGTAAAATTCAGCTAGTACTAATATTATATTATTTTTAAAAACCTAACCAATACCAAAGCTATACCATAAATTTTAAAGAAAATATGTACCAATTTTTAAAATCAGCCTGTGCCCGTACTAGGAACTAAGTGGCTCCGCCACTGATTAACATGATTTTCAACTATTCCTAACAGGACTAGGCTCTCTGCTAATTTTCCAATGTTACATGTTATTTGAAAGCCCTATTCTGAGCCGAAGATAAGAGTTTTTCTGGGTACTGGAAATAGAGTTATCTGAAAATGATTTGGGCTGCTGTAACCGAGAAGAGCATTACTCCATTGATCACCAAAAATATCGATATTAGCCATACTTGTTCGCTCAAAGAGGTTTGAAATCAATGTTGTATTGGTTGTCTCGGAGAAATTTAAAAAACATTTGACCACGCAAGGAGGTTTTGAAAGGACCAGTCTAGAAAAAAAAGTCATGTCTTTCTGTGTTGTATAAATGCAATGCATGTCTTGTTTGAAAGGTTTGAGTTTGACCAGAAAATCGTTTTTTTTTTAATTGCAATTTGCAAACATCGGAATTTTGATCCTACTAAGATATATGTAAAATAATTCATAACCTTTTTAGCTTGAACACATTGCAAGATCCAGGAATTCAAATATGAGGATACGGTTCTGTTGGTATATTAAATCTACTGTTTAGGAATCTCAATATAATAAACGCGAATTAAATAAAAAAATGAAGCATAAATTGATCGTCATTTCAAAACCCATAATAAGAACAAAATTCTAAATATTATTCTGACAATACCAAATATGGGATTAAGATTGACTTTGATATGTTAGCCTGTTTTTTTCTGACTGGGACTTTGATATCTTAACATTGATTCAAGTCTTGTGTTCCACTTCCCATTATTCAAACACGTGGTATGCAGAAGATTAAGAAGTTTATTCAAACAAGTCCTATTTCTCCACATGAAGTGCTAACCTATAAGAGGTTCACATCATTACTGTTTTTTATTTTCTCGCGTACACATACGAAGAGGCTTTTCATGCTTATTTGATTTCAATGTGAGTAGTAGTCATAAACTCATAATATATATGTAATTGTATAAAAAAATTTAAAGTTATTTCAATGAAAGCAAGACTTTCGGAAAATGACAATGCCAGAGCTTGAGGCACGGTAACTACTCAAAGTTCAGATGACCAATTATCGACCTCGTAATCATAAATATGAAACTTTATTACTGTTACACAAATGCAAGATAAAAATTTTCCCTAGCCCCGAAAAAAAGCACTTATCTACTAAAAAAAAGGCACCTATCTATCCACCCTGTTCCTGAACTGCTTCTCAATGCATAAGCTTTTAATTTGATAAAGAGTGACCCCGGTGCTTTACCCGGAAAAGGGGTGGTCTCTAGTAGTAGTAACTATTAAGCCTATTATGAAACTTTATAACGCATCCCAATCTGTCCATTAATGGAACATCAAAAACAAGTCTAAAATCAATTAGGGGCACAATTTATAGAAAGCGCCATTAGAAATGGTTTAAATCCAAAGACAAACAACGATTGAGCTTAAGGTCAGTCGTACCTATTTGATCAAGAAAGGGTATCAAGATGCCCCTCGAGGTAGATTTGATTGGCAAGGATGTTTAATAGTACGTGAATATCCTCACTTTGGGGATGGCTATTATTATCTCCAACTAAAAATTCATGACTCTTACCATCCACCCTTATAAGGCTAGAACCTGGAGTCTTGCTTATTCCTTTCTCCTTCATCAATCTCCTAACGCTCCTCACTTCAGCCCATTTCTTATTAGTTGCATACAGATTAGATAGAAGCACGTATATGCCACTATCTTGGTATTCAAAATTCTCAAGTGATTTCAACATTTCTTGGGAGAATCCAACATTTCCATATGTATTGCAGGCACTCAAAAGAGCCCCTAGGATCTGCACATCAGGTGGCATGGGCATTGTCTTTATCAACTCCATAGCTTCCCCAACCAATCCAGCCCTGCAAAGTAAATCAACCATACATCCATAGTGTTCTAACCAGGGAGTAAGATTGTAGCGGGGACTTGTCATCTGATTGAAATACCTACGGCCTTCATCAACCAAGCCAGAATGGCTGCAAGCCGTAAAAACAGCTAGAAATGTCACCTCATTAGGCCTTGTGCCAGATTCAATCAATTCTCCAAATTGTTTCAATGCTTCTTGCCCATGTCCATTTATTGCCAAACCACCTATATAGGCATTCCAAGAACGGATATTCTTAGAAGGCATTTCATTGAAGATATGCTGCGCCATCTCTATACAACCACATTTTGCATACATGTCAACCAATGCTGTTCCAATATGAACATCCCATTTGATGCGGCTACTATCAATGTATTCATGGACCCATCTGCCAAAATCAAGAAGCCCAAGACTGGCACAAGCAGAAAGCACACTGGTCAGTATAATCCCATCAGGCACAAAACCTAAGCCCTGCATTTCACAGAACAAGTCCAGTGATTCCTTGGGACACTCACATTGCACTAATCCGCCTATAATACTAGTCCAAGAAATAATGTCTTTTTCAGGGATCTCATCAAACATTTTCCTTGCATCAGTCACAGACTCACACTTCATATACATATCCAACACTGCATTGCTTACCACCAACTCCACCCCATACGGACATTTTAAAGCCAACCCATGAATCCCCTTCCCTAAATTTAGATAACACAATTTCCCACAAGCCCCAAGTATGCTAACGAAAGTTGCAACATTAGGCTCCACATCCATTCTCAAAAACAATGCAATGGCATCATGAAACAACCCTGCCTTCACATACCCAGATATCAAACCAGTCCAAGAGACCACGTCTCTCACAAGTATGTCATCAAACACCTTACCCGCACCAACATTGTCCCCAGAAATGCTATAAACATGGACAAGAGTATTTTGCACATAAATGTCACACCACAAGCCAGTCTTAACAGCAACCGAATGAAACTGTCTAACCTCTGCAATCCCAGAAAACTTAGAACATGATTTCAAAACAGCTGGGACAGTGTACACATCAGGCACAAACCCATTCCTTATAGCCCATCTATAAATCAGGATTGCAGCCCAGGGTAACTGGCCAGCAGCATAGCCAGAAATCAGCAAATTACAAGGGAAAGAGCTCAAGCTCCAATCAAATTGCTTCAAGAAATTGCAAGGGTAATGAACATCAGTGACATGTTTCCCAAAAAAGCTTGCAGCTTTGGTGACGACCAAATCATTGGCAACAAGGGCTGAAGTCAATAGATGTGCATGAATTTGCTTGAAGGATCTCAAGTCATTGCACCTATGAATGAAATCCAAGAGAACCCATTTCAGAGAATCTCTAGCCTTATTCATGCCAGGGACCAAATGCTCAAAAATCCATGCAAAATATTTGATTATTTATTTCTGGGCATCGCCACGTAAAAAAACATATAATGAGTCTGGTGAAGTGTAGCTCTAATCATAGCCATAGAGACCAAAACGAAGAGTGAAATGAGTCGCATTTGCCAAGTGTAGTGTTTGCGGGTAAACTAAAAAGAAACTTGAGGTCACCACCCCAAAAGCCGCCTCAAGAGGGAGAGTCCAAGACCTTATAAACTCCACATTAATTGTTCATACAACCAATGTGAGACTATATTCTCAACACGCCCCCTCACACGAGAGCTCATTGGGCTTGAAGAGTGGACAATGCAACAGACCCAGTCTATCTGTGCTAAGAAACGCCACAAGAGAAAGTGGGGGGCGGCGAGGCTTTGATACTATGTTAAGAACCTTGAGGTCACCACCCAAAAGCTAGCTCAAGAGGTGGTGGGAGTGCCCAAGGCCTTATAAAAGTCATATTAGTTGTCTATCCAATCAATGCGGGACTATATATTTCAACACTTGGGATACACCACCCCAAAAGCTAGCTCAAAGGGTGGGAGTGCCCAAGACCTTATAAACTCCACATTAGTTGCACATACAACTAATGTGGGACTATATTCTCAACAAATCCATCCATATATTGTAATCTTCTATTTTCAAATCAAATCATTTTTTTTATTAGTTTTTCATTGAAAGGAATTTCTTTTCTTAATTTCCTTAAGCAATGCTTAAATTTTTTATTTTTTGGTAATCTAAGGGGGTTAACAACAACATCCCAAAGAGATCAATTCAATAAAATCGTTCTGAAATTAAAAGACAAAGATAAATCAGCCCAATACAAAGGCCAAATACCAGGGAGAAGGTTTGAAAAAACAAAGATTATTCTCAACAGTATAGTCTAAAGGAAATTTAGAGAGTTAATCTGCACAACTATTTCCTTCTCTAAAAAACATGAACCAGGTGAACTTTCCAATTCTCTTGTAACCATGTTCGAATCCGAGTCACTAAGAGAGACTCTCGAGCTGCTCTTCCATTGCTAGAGAGCAAAGTGATAACAGAGCTTGAATCACTTTATAGGATGCAGCGTCTCCAACTTCTAGTCCAAGCAAATTCGAGACCCTTGAGGACGCTTCATAATTCTGCAAAACAATGGCCAATATAGTAAGCAAACCCTTCTTTTCAATAACCATTTTCATCTCTTATAATTCCTCCACAAGCATCCCTGCCATCACTCCTGGCTGCACCATCCGTGTTTAATTTCATTCAACCTGTGTCCGGACGTAACCATCTAATAGGAACAGAAAAGTAATTCTTGTTCAGCTTTGTCCCCTTGGAAGTTATCCAGGCTTAAGTATACTCACGGACCAGACTCTCAACGGACTGCACCTTATATGCTTTCCCGTTATTTTACACACCATGCACCTGATTGATTCTCCACTGCCAAGCTAACCAAACAGTAACAGCAAAAACCAACGACCAGGGGCATCAAAGCACAAAATAAATACATTTTGAATATTCAAGGAAAGCTAAGAATCTAAATCAGTATCAAAGAAATCATTTATCAAATTTGGCCTCAAAAGATCAGAGTAAACTTTTTTAATCTTAGGACAGTCACGTGCCATATGAATAATGGATTCTTCATGAAAATTACAAATAGAACAACTAGGAGGACACAATTTAAACTTAGCTAGGAAGCTCCTAGTTGATAGAAGATGATGAACAGTCTTCCAAAGGAACAAACTTATCCGATTGGGCCCTTTTAAATTCCAAATGGGTGACTAGAATTTTCTATCAATACCATTAGAACTATTCTGATTTAACAATGTAAAATAAATATTTTTCACAGAAACTTCATCTGATCCAGCTAAATTCCACCATTTTTTATCCATACCATTAGATTCATGAAGAGGCAACATGCTTCTAATAATTTGAACACAATCATCAGGAAGAAAATTAGATATATTCTCGCAATCCCAAGTTCCATCACGAGTAACATAATCAATTACTCTCTTACCAGCCTCTATTGGGAAAATTTGAACAATAGTTCTATTTGCAAGTTTATCTTTTGCCCAGTGGTCCTCCAAAAATTTCTTTAATCAATTAGATATTTACAAATAAAAAATCATTTCTATTTTTATTACTGAAAAAAAAAAATCGCACTCAGAAGTGAGTGAGTGAGTTTCAATGTAAAGAAAAAAAAATATTGATATGACTCGTTCGCTTTTAGGTGAGTGTGTCAAAGGAATTTTTTCTACAAAAACACTAAATTATAAAAAAAATTATAAAGATTAAATCATTTTTTTTTAAATTAAAATTTTCACACGTCTGTATATTTTTATTTAATTTTTTATTACCAATAAAATAATATTTTTTCAATTGAATTAATTTTTTATTGATTTCTAAATTTATGGTTTAATATTTTATTTTTACTTAAAAATATTTAAATTATGAATGAGACATTTATTAGTATAATATTAAGGATTTAATATTTTTTCCTATAAGAAGTAATTAACTTTTTCTTTTTTATTTCCTCACACGAATCCACCCACACTTAAATATACATAGAAGAAATATTAATTCCAAATTAATTACTAACTATTAATAAATTACAATGGTCAAATGCACAAAAACCAATAATTGGGATAGAGAATAATTTTTTTTTATTCCTCTTTCATTAGAGACAGACACATTCTTGACGTTGTAGCTTCGGCCATTGAGACATGCGGTGTTTAAGAATATACAATGATAATGCCTTCTTCATTACGAATCATCGCTGTTATTCCCCAAGAACCATCTGGAAAAATTGCAGTATCTTATAAGTATCTATAGGTCGAAGCTGCAATGAATTTCTTACATATATGTTTGAATTCGGTTCTCAAATACAGTTTTTTAATGTTTAAAAATAGAAAAAAAAAGTATGTTTTGATAACGGTCTTTTGTAAAAATAGTTTTAAGAATTGAGAAAGGATATTGTAACAACCAACTACTGTTACTACCAATCAATTTTATCGTTAGATCGATTATGTTGATTCAACGGTTATATTTATTTCTATTTTTGTATGATTATGATTCTCCGAATTTAATATTTTATATTTATTTTCATCTTTGTATAGTTATGATTTCCCATATTTAATGATTTCACATTAAATTTGGTGAATCATAACCATACAAAGATTGAAATAAATATAATCGTTGGATCAACATAATCGATCTAACGGTAAAATTAATTGATAGTAACATTGATAGTAACATTGATAGTAACATTAGTTGGTTGTTACAATATCTTATCCCTTAAAAATTATATCTATCTTTTAGATTTTAGAATCAAATTTAAAAAACATGTTTCGATTTCTATTTTCTATTTTGACTGTTAACTGTCCAAACCAAAAAAATAAAAATAAAAAATAAATTTTTTATTAAATATTAGTCTATTATACACCAATTTTATTAACTGCCCTATGTTTCTATCTAAACTGTTGTTAGGCATGTTATCCAAAAATAAAAGAAACTGTTGTTAGGCAGTACGTAGAAAGTGCTCGTGCCACCGATTTAATGAGAACGTCACGACCTTTTGGCCCGAAATATGTTACAATATATAAGATTATAAGTGATGTCTTATTATTGTTGATTCAATAATTTAATTGAACCGAGCTGACCTAGCCCAAAACCGTTCTGCCTGGTAAGGCCCATTTGGCCCTTTCACATAGCAATAAAATTATTAACTTTTTTCCAATAATTTAATAAATTAATTGATTATTAATTCGTAATAAATTATAATGATAAGATATACAAAAATTAATGGTTATTTTTTAGACTAAAGTCAAAAGATCCTTCTCAATTTTAGTTTTCATTGTATTTCCAAAAAAAAAAAAAGATCCTTCTCAATTTTAAATTAATACTTTTAAATTGTACTAAATTAACTATGCATATGTCTTTTATTTATATTTTAAAATTTATTTTAATATAAAATACTCATACAATACGCGAAATACTTTCTAATAGTATAAATTAATTGTTTGTTGCTAATATAAAATTCTTTTTATACTAACAATCTTCCATATTACCTCTTCATATTCAGTGACATGTATAATTATTATGTAAAGCACAAACTGCAAGTTTACCAAAAAAAAAAAAAGTACAAACTACACGAGTGGAACTACTTAACTTCCCTGGTTAACATTTTGTTCCAAGAGAATGATTTGAGAACGTCCGTTTAACAATTTGATTTGTTTTGTTCTAAGCATTGATAAGTAGTAATTGCTCACACAAAATTAATCTTCCAATTGTTGATGGAGGTATTGTTATTAAAATCGGACTGGCCCCTATCGATTGATCCGGTTCCAACAACAAATACAACACTTATCACTACGTTATATCTAATTGGGGATCGAATCCTTGTTTGGAGAATATAAATTATAACACTTACCATCAGGCTACAATGAGTTATTGATTATATTACACTATTAAAAATATTTATTATATATTTGAGTATAAATTATAAATTTATATACATTTATCTGGATCATACGGTTGAATCAGTGACTCACTAACTCGATATCCTGATCGAGTCGACGACCGGTCCGGGTTTAATAATATTGGGTGGAGGTATTCTAATTATAAATTATTAATGGGAGAAAAAAGAATATACCACTCAATTCCAATGTAATTTCTTTTTTTATATATATAAAAAAATGGGCATCTTTATTATAATTATAATTTTTTTTTTGGTAATCTTATTATAATTATAATTTACTATGGCTTAATATGAACAGATTTTAAAACTTCAGTTCAAGTCTCCATTGTAGGACAAAAATGATGTACTGTCTTTTGAATTTAAACATGTTTATTCATGCAACTCAGAACCGCATAATGACATTTAAACATTTCGTCGTTATATAATGAAATGCACCTAATGACAAATTTTATTTAATAGGAATAACTTCATGTTGACAATTTATAGAACACCAAAATAAATAATTAAATTGGTCACTATTCAACTCAATCGCTATTAATTAAGTTAGTATAAAAAATACTAAATAGTTTATGAAAATTATTAGAATTGGTGTTAATACAAATAAGTATTATTAATAATTTCATGATAAATAAGTAACTTTTATCTATTTAACTTAGAAATACATTTGAGTTTTGACAAATATGTTATTTTTTTTATTTTTTTTTTGAATTACGTTAGTGTGACCCTTATTTTATCTTTTATGGATAAATTATATTTATTTTTATCTTTTATGAACAATTTATCTTTATCAACCACCAAGTCAAGAGAAAAAAAAAAAAAGACTTTATAAGTGATTATGAGAAAGTTTAATTAATAACATTTATCAAAATGCTTTGGGTAGACATAAAATTAAAGACATAGACTCATGTGTAAAGATTTTTTATCAATATAATTCTTAACAAATCACCTTTACCATTTGATCAGCTATACAATGATCCGGTGGTAGAATTTGTTTCTTCGTATTCACAGCACTCTCATTCCTACTAGATAGAGCATTGGTATATTTGCTCCACTAGCTACCACCAACATCTAGAGAACAAAACAGATAGGATTGACTGAGAATATTCCACAGCACATATAATCTCCTTTCCTCTTTAGCCAATAAAAGAGCTCAACTCAAATATTAAATAAAAAATAAAAAATTCACCATCCTTCATTCTTAATTTCTTATGGCTTCCATAAAAAAATGTTTATATATAATATTCATTGCATAGCTACTACTCTAGTGCTTTAACACTACTCATCTGCAATATTTAATATTTAGATGAGAACTCAATAAATTAAAGAACTAAGCTCAAATGAAAAAGAATTCACCATTCTCCACTCTTATTACTTCCTTACCTTTTTACCAAACAAATGCATTTTACACATAAAAAATACTTATTTAATATATTTTTCAAAAGATATTTTAAACTGACACAATCAATTCTGCACATTAATTGTACGAGACAAGTTTTTCTTATCAATAATATGAGACTTAATGTTAGTACGTAAGTCTTGCATATTTGCCATATAGGACTGTCGCGTTAGTATTAAGTCCTATAAGATCGATATACGAGACTAAAAAAATTTCAAACAGTCAACATATGAAATTTTCACATTAATATTAAGTCTTGTATTGTTGATATGCAGAATTTATCCAATATGATTAATATACGGAATTGATCACATTGATTTGAAATATCTTTTAAAAAATAAATTAAATAAGTAGTGTTGGTTGCCAAAGTTTTATACTTCACCGACGTTTATCATTAACATACTCTTAAATAAAAAAGGGATTTATAATTAAAAAACAACTTTTTAGATATGAATGTTTCTTTCTTCTTAAAAACTTTTCAACTAATAAAATATTAATTATCATTAAAAAGTGTAATAACTTTCCCCGTTACCTAGCAACACATTTGGAAATTTTTTTTTTTTTTTTTTTATGGAATATGGCAAATTGTTATCAATTAGGCAAAAAATCTACAAGAGGAACAGTAATCCGCACTAAAGATGGGGCTCACATCCTAGTGGCCCATCTGATGTGTAGAGTGTATCCAGCCGTTGATTCTATTTAACCGTGCAAATAAATACAGACCTGAGCCTGAGGGACCCTCTCATCTAATGCGGTTAAGTGGGGCTCTCTTCCATTGTTAGGGTTTGTTTCTCTGTGTTTCTTGTTGTCTCCTATTTTATTTTATTTTTACGTATAATTTTTTAATTAGAATAACCACTCTTCCAATTCTCAATTAGTCTTTCTAATCCTTTGGAGTGCAGGAAAGCTTCATTGCTTCAAAGCACAGTCAACGTATCAAAACTCTGCTTCTCTGTTGTTCTTGATTTCTGCCCCTGCAAAACACACACAGTAGCCCCTCCAAAATAGATTTGAATTTTTACTGCTTCTTAAATTCATAAATTTAAAATCTTTTCCCTGTTTATTATATGGGTTTTGATCATACTTTTCTGGGTCTTTTTTAATTTAAGAATTTCTGGGAATTTTTTTTTTTCACTAAGGATGGAAGCGAATCCTACCCGTGATGGCCATTTCAGCGAAGAAGAGGACACCCACAGTGTCGATGTCTCTCCCTCCGAGACGGCGACGCCAATGGTGGTGGAGCCGCCGGAGCAACCGCCGATGGCTGCACTGAAAGAAGAGGTCACGGACACGGAGCAAAGCCTGGAAGAGCCTCTTCCGGTGAGCGTTATTCCGATGCCGTTGACTACGTCAACGCTGGCGGTGGCGAGGAAACCGTCGAAGGACCGCCACACGAAGGTGGAGGGCCGCGGCCGGAGAATCCGAATGCCGGCGACGTGCGCCGCCAGGATCTTCCAGCTGACCCGGGAGCTGGGCCACAAGTCCGACGGGGAAACAATCCGGTGGTTGCTTGAGCAAGCTGAACCGGCGATTATAGAAGCCACCGGTACCGGAACGATCCCGGCCATCGCTGTGTCCGTCGGCGGCACCCTAAAGATTCCAACATCATCGCCAGCGAGGCCAGATGGAGAAGATACCCCGAGGAAGCGAAGGAGAAGAGCATCGAACAGTGAGTTCATTGATGTGAACGATCAAGTTTCAGTGTCTTCAGGGCTTGCACCAATTGCACAAACCGCATACGGTGGTGGTGGTGGTAATGGTGGCGGCGGCGCACTAGTCCCTTTGTGGCCTGTGGGTGGCGGCGGTGGGTCTAATGGTACAGGGCCTTTCTTAATGTTCCCGAATGGTGGAAACCAGCCTCAGTACTGGGCCATTCCTGCAACTGCAGCACCGTTTTTTAATGTACAAGCAAGACCCATTTCGGATTTTGTTTCTGCTATGCAGATGCAACATGGTGACCAATTAGGTCAGGTGATGGTGAAGCCTTCTTCCGGGTCCACTTCAAATGGTGCCTCTGCCTCTGCCTCTGCATTGGGTTCTGCTAACTCTTCATCCACTTTGGCTCCTAGTTTGAGCTCAGGAACTACTACTAGTACTACAGTTACCTCATCCTCCAGTGCTACCACCACTCAGACGCTCAGGGATTTCTCTTTGGAAATCTATGACAAGAAAGAGCTTCAATTCTTGGGTCGCTCTGCTTCAAATTCAGAACCACTACCTCCCACTTCAAAGGCTTGAGAATTGTAGCACTAGCAGCATGTGGGAGGAAAAAGGTTTTGACTTTAGGGTTTTTTTTTTTTTTTTTTTTTTTTTAATATTTGGGAACTAAAGGACAGAGATAGTTTCTGCCATCTGTGTTTTGTTTGTTTTTGGTTAATGCTTAGGAACATATTTCAAGACTCTTTATTTAGGCCTCCTTTGTCTCCAAACTCTTGATTTGCATTAATTTCCATTTTTATTTTTATTCTTTTATCTTTTAATCTTGTTATTGGGAATAAATAACTGGACGAGAAGCGAAAGAAAATTGGACTTTTGAGCTCAAAAAAGTGGGGTCGTGCGGGGTCGAGTATGCACGTGCTAGGTGGGTTAAGTGTTAACCGATAACTCGTGGGAGGGTGAGGTTAGCGGTGTGGGGGTACTAGCTGACCCTTAAGTATATGCATCAACGAGAGAAGTGGGGTCCATGAAGTGGTTTTGATGTTGTTTGTGCACGTGTTATGCAGTGGGGCCCATAAATGTGGATGGGAAAAGTAAGGTGGTCCGTGTAGCATGGTGAGTGGTTGAAGTTGGGCCACGAGATTCGGTCATGTGATTGTTATTTTTGAGGCACGTGTCCCTAGGATTTTGTGGGACCCTCTCTTATGGGTAGAATAGGATGCCCCTCTACACGTGTCGATCTGTGGGGGGAGTTTAGTGGTTGGTCCACACGTGTACCCACGCTTTACTGACCACAACGCGTCCTTCTCAAGGTACCTATTATGAATGAAAATTTTTTGTTATAAAAAAAGGGACTGAATTAGATCCGAAATGATAATAAAGGTATACCGTGACCATCGTATAGTATAAGTTTATATAGTAGGATCTCTTTATACATTAAAATGATGTATAACTTAATCAAGTCTAAGGGTGTAGAGTTAGGCCTGATAAGGGGTTGATGTATTAATGTTGCTTAAAAGTGCAATTTTCAAGAACTAATATATCATTTCAATATTAATATATCAAAATAATTTTTTTTAATATATTAATTTTTAAAATATTGAAGGATATTATCTTATACAATACCATACTAAATGTAGGATAGTATTAAAATTTAATCAAGTCTTATACTATGAAACTTTATTCTGTACTATGTACCAAACATGCCCTGAGAACCAAATTGAATGAACATGCGATAGAATGAAAAATAAAATATCACGCGAGTGTGAATATAGAAAATATTCGTAAGAGCAAAAAATAGGAAATAACAGTTCAAAACAACTAATTTAGCAGTTCAAAAAATGCTAACTGCACGATTTGTAACATTTGGTTGAAGAAATCCACCTTCTATGGACCAACTAAAGAACTGATTTATTAAATACTAGGGGTTTGTTCTGAATATTTTGCGATTCCTTTGTACAAATATTTCACATGGGAGTTGATGTGAACGAAGCTAAAATGGAGTATTTAAATTTACAAAAAAAAAAATTGGAGTATTTAATGTTGACGGAGGGTAAATCACATTTTGTATTTAAAGAGATTTAAATTACACTGTATTTCTTTGAAAATTACACTCGTTTAATCTTTGCTATACTTTAGTTTATGGGTTTTATTATTATAATGTTACATGATATAAGAACATTTTTCTATCCTTACAATAAAAAAAAGAGAGAAGGTGGAATCATGAAAGAGAACAAAAAAATATGTGGACCTCACCTCTTAATTGTGTGTGTAGAAAAATTTTCTTAGATTATGTAACATGATAATAATAAAACCCTTAGCTTATTATACTGTAAACGAACCTATTAATAACGGAGAGTAATTATAAACTAGTTTCACTTGTGTAATTTTTCTTTCTACAGAATTACCAGTGTCACTAACAGTTATTTTTGAACACCTTAATATCAACTTTAAATCTCTACTATTGACTTTAGGACTTTATCCTAAAAACTGTATTTTATTTTCGAAAGTCCCAAAATCGATATTAAACATTTAATACTAGCCATGGATGACACTGAAATTTGCAAACAAATAAAAATTATCCCTAAGTTCATTTAGTTAAAATAAACTAAGGGTTTTGATTTTATCATGCAGTAGGAGATAGATATCTCATGCTATAATACTTTTTATGGGGGGCCACATTTATTAAAAAAATAAAAAAACAAAAAAAATATTGCACAAAAATCGAAGGGTAGCTGATAAGAGAGAACAACTCTTCTATAACATGAGAAAATATTATATATATAAATATTATATATATATATATATATATATATATATATATATATATATATATGAGGCAGGATCCTTTGACACCGGTGTAAAATTTGAAGTTTGACACCTCATCTGATAACCGTTAGATCAAAAAATATCAATGGTGTCACATGATTACAAATAAGAGTCGTTGATCTTTTTTTTATCTAACGGCTCTCAAATGAGGTGTCAAAGGATCCCGCCTATATATGAGGTAGGATCCTTTGACACCAGTGTCAAATTTGAAATGTGACACCTCATCTGAGAGCCATTAGATAAAAAAATATCAATGGTGTCACATGCTTACAAATCAGAGTCGTTAATCATTTTTGATCCAACGACTCTTAGATGAGTGTCAAACTTCAAATTTGACACCGGTGTCAAAGGATCCTGCCTCTATATATATATATATATATATATATATATATATATATATATATATATATATGATGTGGACCGGGCCTGGGTTGGGCTTATTTTTGGTCGGGTTGGACTCAGTCAACAATTAAAATTGCTGCTTTGTTATTGGGCTACACGACCACGAAACTTTTTTTTAGAGTTCTGTCGGTGCTTTTTGATAATAAAATTTTTAGTTTTTCATCACAATTTTTTCACATGAAGCTCTCTTTTATTCTCGGATTTAATTTATTTTTTTAAAAAAACTCATCTTTAGAAATTTTATTTTTTATTTTTACTGTGTTAATAATTTCAATTAAAAACAAAGTTTATGTAAGTTATTTTATCAAATGATTCATTTTAAATTTAAATTTTAAATAATGTTTACCTACAATTTTTATAAAATCACCGAATAGCTTTGAGTTTTAATCTTTGAGCTTTTATCTACTGTTAACTTTTAGCTTTAAAAAAAATATTGCGCTAAACATGATCATATCTATTTATTAAAAAGTCATATATAGGTTGGATAACTTTAATAATTTTTTATACATCTTAATGAATTAATAATGTTTTTATCATCCCTTGTGATCCAATTTGAAGTTCATCCTTTCTATATATTTGTCAGTCCTACAATATCTTATAATAATCCTTCCATCCTTGTGCTACTTATAGACTTTTCCATCAACCTGCTTTACTAAGATCAACTTTTTATTAACGCAAGCCGAATGAAGATTTTGATTTTCCTAGTACTAACATGATACAAATTTAATAGTTCAAATATTGAATAATATACATAATTTAAATAAATTTTTTTGAGTGTTGTACATTTTCAAATACCAAAAATAACCATATTATTTAAAAAACTATATGTTTAAATAACTGAGCTAAACCAAATAATCAACGGCAAAACAATATATTTGCATAATTTTTTTTTAATTCATTGCTGTTATTAGCATGTCATTTATAACTAAGAATAGTCTCAATATCTTCAATGATTCAAGCGGAAAAATGAATGTTCAAAAAATATTCCTTTCGATTAATTCTGATTTCCTTTGTAATTACCCGAACATCAGATAAAAGGAAACTTCCCGCATAAAGGAGGCAATTTGTTAGTGCAGAATTTTGTACTCCATCTCTCATCAACTTTATAGCTTAACTGAACTAACCTGAAAGGTATACACCAACAGAACAACTAAGGAAGTAGTATGTTACCTAACAATGATGTACTTTCATGCGGTACACCTGAATAAGGAAAAACCTATTCTTACAAGGAAAACAAAACCATAACATCCCCTTAATCAATTATCAAAGATGTGTCTAGGTGGATTGATATACTAGTCTTAAAGCAGAACAAAAGGTGAGTCAAAAGTCTGTACTTCTAGGCTAATATTCCAACCTTGAGTGGCTTCAAAGTAGAATAATTCAGAAATAAGCATGTGTTTGCTAAAATCGTTCACTTCTATTCTATATATATCTTTTCATGAAGTTCTCATCTAATCAACATTTTCTAATTCTCGAGTTCTAATCTGATTTATCATATGGCTCCTCTGCCAGCAAAAAACATCTTTCCAATCGTTTTCCTCCTCTTGACAATATTTTCTGTATCCAAAGCTGAACTTCATGCTCATTACTATGACCAAACATGTCCACAATTGGAAAAAGTAATTTCAGAGACGGTTCTCAATGCTTCTATGCATGACCCAAAAGTCCCAGCTCGTATCTTGAGGATGTTCTTCCATGACTGTTTCATAAGGGTATGATCTCTCAATCTCAAAAACACACACACACATACACACAATGTTCATGCTGGTTAAGTATTTTGATGGCCAATGGGTGTGTAATCATCCTCTTGTTATGATTAATGTTCAATGATAGGGATGTGATGCATCAATATTGCTGGACTCAACTGCCACTAACCAAGCAGAGAAAGACGGCCCTCCTAATATCTCAGTTCGATCGTTCTATGTGATTGATGATGCTAAAGCTAAGCTTGAATTGGCTTGCCCACGCACTGTTTCTTGTGCTGATATAATTGCCATTTCAGCTAGAGATGTAGTAGCCATGGTAACACACCCAAGTCTCCAAACTAGTTTAGACCTGCTATAATCTTGGTATTTTTTTATGAGTCATTTTATCCAATAACTGTATCTTAGATGCCCGACTAAGAATACACATATTTGGTGGTCTCATAAAATATTCCATTAAAAGAATCCAAGTCACTTAATAATTTTGGATAATACCCAAAGGCATGCTGCATGAAATATCAGAAATTTCTATATGTACTCTGATCACTCGTTCAGAATCTTGAATAGCATATAAATTATAATCCAAGATATTCAGCATGTTAGATATTGATCTCTATTTTTGCATAATAATCCCTCCATGGAACATTAGCATATCTTGAGACAAGTGAATGTAAGTTACTTATTACAAGGTCAATTTTTCTTATTTACTTTGACAGTCTGGAGGTCCATATTGGAATGTACTAAAAGGAAGGAAAGATGGAAGGGTGTCAATGGCATCTGATACCATCAACTTACCCGGTCCAACCTCCAATGTGAGCCAACTCATTCAGAGCTTCGCCAAGAGAGGGTTGGGAGTTAAAGATATGGTTACTTTATCTGGAGGTCACACTCTAGGCTTTTCACATTGTTCTTCCTTTGAGGCTCGTCTTCGTAATTTTAGTTCATTGCATGACAGTGATCCAAGTATGAAAACTGAGTTTGCACTAGACCTAAGAAAGAAATGTCCAAAACCGAACAACAACCACAGCGCAGGACAGTTCCTCGACTCAACAGCATCAGTGTTTGACAATGACTATTACAAACAACTGTTGGTCGGAAAAGGTGTGTTTTCTTCTGATCAATCACTTTTTGGTGATTACAGAACTAGGTGGATTGTTGAAGCATTTGCAAAAGACCAGAGTTTGTTCTTCAAAGAGTTTGCAACTTCAATGATTAAACTTGGAAATTTGAGAGGCTCTGAAGATGGAGAAGTGAGAGTTAATTGCAGGATTGCGAATTGAGAGAAACAGAGATTAGAGACTAATTTGCCCTGATTTTCCCCTACTTTGTCACCATTTTCGTCATTATACTACTCATGTTTAAATAAATGTCATTATGCTTATATACCTCATTTTATGAATGGCAAAAGAAAAATGTTTATTGTGCACACAAGCACGAGGTTGTCTAATGATATCTTTTGATAATTACACGTACATCCAATTTATGATACTTTTTTATGCTTAATAGGGGTTGTAATCTTGTAACTAAGCCTTCCGTTCCATGTTGATGGACCCCAAGCCTCTTTCATTCTACATATGCTTAAGGTGTACAACGTACAGACAAATTTTTAGTCCAAAAGCTAAAAGAATATGCAGCAATCATACAAAATGTGAATTTCAAACCGCAAACAAGATCATGAGAAGCACTAGTTAAGGCTCAGCTTAATGATGTCTTACACTCAATAAGTCTGATTAAAAATGTTTGCAATGGTTTAAAATTTTACAGGAATTTCATGTCGGAAAATGTCTTCTAGTATTTAGGATATGATAACAACACAAAAACGTGCATCAACTTTAACCTAAACAGAACACAAGAGGCACCATCTTTAGAAATTTAACCTAAACATCTCAAAAGATCATCAGGAAAATGCTTCCCCAGGCCCACTACTAAACAGTGCAGTCACATTAAAGAACCAGAAATCGTGGATTGGATAGATCAACAGAAGCCAAAAAAACTACAAACAGATATCCAGAAATTAGGAATTATCATCAGAATTCTTCAATGGGGTAAAAAATATAATACTTTCCCATAATATTCAACTTCAAGTATCCAAAAAATTATTCCTCATTTCTGGAAAAACATATAGATAATCATATAGTATTCCAGTAGCAGAAGCTTTATAATATAGTACCAGGCTGCCCTTTTTTTATAAGGTTCTGAGTAGGTAGCTGATTTAATTAACCATATTTTCCCACCTCTATGACTTTTTCAAAATGATTTTGATAAGGACTTCTACTCAAATACAGAAATAACACAAAGAACAATGACTTTGGTATGAATAATCAGATTTTTTATATAATAAGCAAAAGACAATTACAGAGACACTGAGCAAGACACATTACAGAGACAAACAGTAAAGGATAATTCTAGAGGAATTCTAGAGCCCCAAATCTCTCCCAAATCACCCTAAGGTGTCCAAGGTTCCAAATCCCAAAAGATACTTCCATCCACCTACTATCTCCTATTTATTCTAACAGCTCAGCAGTAACAACTTGACCACGTTTACTAACCAATTCCCACTCACAAATTTGGGAATATTCTCCCATAACTGATTTGATGACTCAGCATGTATTGATCCAAGCATGAATTGATCCCCTGTATATACTTCTAGAATTCAACCATAAGTTTGGTATCGTATTTCCCTAGATTTCCCTATTTTGTTCACATTTGACAATAAATTATATGTGGCATAAGTTTCCATATACAGAAAATATTACCAACATTGAAAATCAAAATAATACAAAAAAATTTAAGTGATAACTAACGAAGAGAAAGCCTACAGGAGAAGAATATACCAGATTATTTGGTACAATACATGAACCATTCTTCAAACAAACACTACATCCGAACGAAGCACATATTTGACACCCTTAGTGACATTTCTGGCTTCATGCAACAAGCATTTATCTCCATGAAGATGCAGGAGTGCCATCCCCTCAGTAGGAGCCACCTGTAAAATTGATATTTTAGCAACCCCAAAGCAATAGCATATAGCCAAATTCCAAAATTTGCATTAAGTAAAAATTCAAACTTATTTTAAAGAAAATGAAATATTATCAACCCATATTTCACTAAAATTAAATCAATAATCCACCTCAGCTACAGTGCTATTTCTTGGACCATAGAAGACTGTTTCTCCTCCAACTAAAGGATCAAAAGAAGAATCTGTGGGGTTGCTGGAATCATTTTTGGGCTTTGATTTAAGTTCACCAGGACCACCACTTAAATACACTAGCAAAGTATAGTAAGTGTGTTTTCCATCTCCAAGATCAACACTTTCATCAATATGTCGTCCAAAGCGTTGACCAACCTTGTACCTGAAAATGCAGAAGTGCAAAGTCATTAGTGAAGGTAATGCATTTGAAGCATCTACATTTTTCTCAGAACCAAATTTAAAGAAATCAGAGGTGTTTTCCATTAGCATGAATGAAAATGCAATGTCACAAGAACAGCTTTAGCAAAATGAAAAATTATACTAACTTCTCTGCAAGAAACTTTTGTCTAAGAGATAGAGGGAAAAAAAACCAACCTATAGAATCTAATATTTGGATTCAGACCTACAGCAGCCTTCCCTCGAATTCTTATATCAGAGAATAGTTTGCTAAGTCCAGACTCCCAAATTGCATCTGCAAGGACAGCATCATTCACTGAGATTCGATCATTATCTCTGTAAGCTTCACCTTTAGCTGGACCCAGACTCCCTTGATGAGCAAAACCAATTGCCTCAGCTGTTTTAATGAATGCCTTTGATTCAGCAGAGGTAAAAAAATTCTGGACCTGAATTCTTAAATCAAAAAGTTATTAAAATAAGAATTATTGGAGAATAATATAAAGCACATGTCTACATTTCAAATAAGCAGACATTACCTATTGTGACACAGTATAATTTTTGTTTTGGAACATTAAAATATTGTCAATCCACCTTAGTTAAAAACTTCAGGAGCATAAGCAAGATAGATCCCTCAGTTAACAAAGAATTAAGAATCCCTATTTCATCTATGCCCAATCTTACCGTCACACTCTACCAAGCTGCGTGCTAGTAAACAAATTTTCTTACAATATGTCATGTTATACATACTACATCTAATGAGATTTTCCTCCTTCTTGAGACTTTCCTTAAGCCAATTTAAGTTTTATAACTGAGACTTCTCCAATTTGAGTTCCTAAAGAGTCCGCAAAAAAATTTAAAAATTTCAACTGACTTCGAATCAATCATCAATAATCTGAATCTACGGTGAAAACCCCATGTTAAAATTAGCTTTAAAGAAAGCATCTGTTAACACTTTTCATTTGAAGGCCACAAAAAAATAAAAAATGGGTAGTGCACTTTCTAGAGTATAGGTTAGAACAAACAACAAAATAAAGTGGAAGCAAGGCATTTATTTACCCTTACAAGTTACAATTACTCCATTATAGATAAGGTTGATAGAAGTCATGCATCGAACATAACTAAGCCAAAACTTTTAATTTCTTATGAAGAGTCAAAGTGGGTATCTTTTCAAAACTGAATTGGAAGAAGCACAGTTCACATTTCACCATTGTTTCATTGCAATCCAATCAAATGATAATAATCCCGTTATCAAGTTAGAGATTTATTAAAAAAAAAAAAAACCAGAAAGAGAGGGATGGAATTGGAACCGTGAAGAGATCGATATCTCGGAAGCGGGTAGTCTGAAGATTCTTTTTGGGTTTGATTTGAGGCCATTTTGTCGCAGGTTTCTTTGGAATTTTCTCCTTTCTGTCCCCCATTTTTCTCTTCCTCGTTGACCCCTCGATCATTGGTGCCCCAATGTTTCTGTTACAACTTTATATGTTGAAGTATAGGTTCCGGGAGTATATACTTACTGCCCCTTTTTTATACAATTAAATTTTAATCGTTAATTTTTGTTAATCAATAGTTATAATTTATGGATCATATTTATTAATTAATTATTAATTTTTAAGAAATTATGACTATTAGATTGTCAAAAATTAATGGTTAAGATTTGAGAGTAAGAGGTAGTAAAAAAATAAAGTAGTAAGTATAACCTTTCCCGGGTTCCGGGGAGGTTATACTTACTACCTCTTACTACTAAATCTTAACTTCCCCCGTAATCATACATGAGATAGGATCTTATAACAACCAATTAGAGTTATATTTATTTTTATTTTTGTATGATTATATTTATGTTACAACCAATCAATTTTACCGTTAGATCGATTATATTGATCCAACAGATATATTTATTTTCAATTTTGTATGTTTATGATTTCTCATATTTAATGTGAAAGCATTAAATATGGAAAATTATAGCTATACAAAGGTAAAAATAAATATAAAGTATTAAATGTGGGGAATCATAACCATATAAAGATGGAAATAAATATAACCGTTGAATCAATATAATCGTTCTAACGGTGAAATTAATTGGTAGTAAGTAGTAACCCTAATTGGTTGTTACAATATCTTCCTCCATTATATATTACAGAGTAGTATATAATTATAGGGATATGATATTGTTACTACCAAATAATGTTATTATCAATGTTAGTATCATATCTTAACCGTTAATTTTCACCAATCAACGGTTATTATTTTCACAAATTAAACTCATTAATTAATTATTAATTCGTAATAAATGATAACCGCTTATTGACAGAATCAACGGTTAAGATATTGTAATAACATTGGTAGTAACATTATTTGGTAGTAACAATATCTTATCTCATAGTTCCTGTTTTTGCAGTCACTGCAGATAAGTTATCTGCAGTAAGTCCAATACGACGTCGTTTTGGGACGAAAATCTTGATATCTTTGTAATTTTATTTTATTTCAGGGTTATTCTAGTTCTTATAATTATAAATTTTTAATATTTTAATACCCAAACGACGTCGTTTTGGGAGTAAATACAAATAACTTATCTGCAGTAACTGCAGGAATATTTTTCTGTAATTATAATGGTAAAATTATTATTTTTTCTCTGTCACCTGACTGATAATTGAGGAGAGATATTTTTTTTAATATTATAACTATGTATTACACGGGAGAGATTTCTTCCCGTAACATATAATAATGATTTCCCTTATGTATAAGGCGAAAATAATTTGGTTCGTCGGGAGCACGATATTCTTTTTTATTAAGAAATAATTGTTTTTCTCTCTTTTTTCGTATGTATTTTTTTATATTTTCCTTGAAGTCTTAAATTTTTTCATTTTTAGTAAAAGAAAACACCCTGGTGCACCAAATTTTTTCCTCGTAAACCCAATTTCTGTTCATACCATGGCTTATGTGTTTGATTGTATTTGGATTTTTTTTTATTAAAATTGTTTTTCAGAATAGTTATGGAATCAAGTATTTTTTGTATTTTAAAATTTAAAAAGTCAAAATACAAAACAAAAATAATTTAGACTTGATCTTTAAATTTGATTTTAAAAAATAAAAGTAATTATAATTTTTAGAACTATTTTTAAAAAACAAACTTTATCAAACATATTTTTTATTCTAAAAAAATTATTTTTGAAAATAGAATTCGACCTTAATTCCACTTCACGTAATTCCAGTTTGGAACACAAATATTAATTTATTTTATGACAAGTAACAAAATAATTTAGTTTAATTATTGATGGTGAGATTTTATTGAGGGGTGTTTGGTAGGGGAAATTTTTAGAAATTCCCAATAAAGTAGTAGTGGCAATCCTATTTATTCAAGTTTGGTATAAAATTTCTGAATTTTTTTTTGGAATTTTGTTTTGTGTACAATTTTTTTTTCAAAATGTCTCCTAAAGGGATGGTATTTTTGGAAAAAAAATTCCCCTAATATTTTTGCTTATCAAATAATTTTTTGATACCATTTTTAAAAATATAACTTTCTCGCTATATTTTTGAAAATCATGATTTACGGGCATGAATAAATTCATCTCTATTAAACGTCCCGCGGAGAAAATTGCTCAAAATAAGTTATCCATTTTATTATTTTTTGTCTCCCCACGAGGGTTAATTTACACTCTTTAAGAAGAATAAAAAACATAAATTTAATTTCTATTTTAGGCCAATCACATAAAGGTGATACAATTGAGTAGACTTAACGCAAGAATCATGTCCCCTCTCAGCCCGATTCTAAAAGAATAATAAAATAAAATCATTTATTTTTCTCGTAAAGATGATAGAATGCAATCATTCACCTCCATATATTCGATCATGCAATCACATGCATCTAATTTCTCTCGGTTCTCATGCATTATCAAAGGTGCATTCTTGCACCGTTAGTACCGAATAAGCACCGCCACTTCACTTGCATGGGTTAAAAAATTATGTATAATGATAACTTATTTGATGTATGAGAGCTAAATAAGTGAGGTGAGTATGTATTCAATTTTCTTTAGGAGAGATTTAAAGTCTTAATTATGAAACTGTCCTAAACAATATTACTTCCTGTGAAAGATATCGGTAGTTTATCAAAAAAATAAATAAATTACATACATTAGTATTTTAAATTAGGTAAAATTTAACAAGTATATATTAAAGACAAGTTATTTGAAATTATAAAGGATATATATATATATATATATATAATTCAAGTAGAAGTCAATAAAGAAGCAATGGATAATTAATTTTCAGAAAGTTTGAATTTAAAATTTAAAAGAATTTAAAAATGCTATGTATCAATGTTTAAAGGGGAGTAAAATAAATGATCAAGTTGGTTCTAAGATAATCTATTCAAATTTATTATACAGAAGTGGAGCAAATAAATTCGAGGAGAAAAAAATTGAAGCGAATAAATTTGAGAGAATTACATTGAGATTTGGAAAAAAATTCAAAGTGATTATTTTAAGAATATAAATAATGAGAAAAATGTGTTTTATTTTAAAGAACACAAAGTTGTGTCATTTTAAGTAAGAGAAAGAGATAGATTATGGGAGAGAGTGTGTGTGAATTTTCTTTTAATGATATGAGTCCCATCTTTTTGTGAGAGTGAAAAATATAAAATGTGTCATTTAAAATAATACATATTTTTTCCGTAAATAATTTCTGAAGAATTATTTTAATATAAAATTAAACGATGACAAAATAATTTATCCCAAGAAGAAAAATAGTATATAGGTACTTTCCAAAAAAATATAGTGCAAAGATATCCCACTCTTTTTTTTTTATTATATTAAAGTAAATGATGTGATTGTTTACAGAAAAAGAAACAGTAGATGATGTGATTTATATAAAATAAGAGAAAGTAATGAATCAATAACGAACTGCTGGCTAAATAAATTAATTTAATTAATTTTAAACTTAACTAATTATGAACTAATCACAATAGGTGGAAATAGCCTTCAAGAAATTGTAGATGAGTTTGATGTATTAAATTTGATATTATTCATGTTATTAGAGATAATTTTATCTCCAACACATACATAAAAATATACGAGTCATGTAGAGTCATATAAAGAGAAAAAAAAAATGTGGAACTTACACATTTTTATGTGTAAGTAAGAAATAATTTTATCTCCTATAACCTAAGAAACATTAACCACAGAAAGAGACGGGGTGATGTTTATGTCATTGTTGCTAATTGTTTTATGAAATTTTATTCTTTATGTTATTGGAAATAAATATCTCTTACCATATACACATGATGTAATAAGTACCTATTAAAAAAAAGTGATGGCTTTATCTAACAAAAACACAAAATAATTATTTTTATGTAAAATGAAATAATAATTTCTCTTCTTTTATTCAAATACAAAAAAAAGGAAGAACTTAGAACAAATTATTTTGCCATAAATAATTGTTTCTCAATTTTACCAAAACAAGACAGACACTCAGGTGTTAAGAGCATTTTAAAACAAAGATTCTTTCTCCAATATACTTGACCTGTGCTGAAAGCTTGAAACACCGTACGTGATCTCTCTCTCTCTCTGTTCGTACGTGAGCTCTCTCTCTCTCTGTTCGCACCCGATTGTTAAGCTCTTCAACCATTCTGAGTGGTGAATATTTACAACCAGATTTGATCTTTAAGCTTATTTCTAATATAAGTGAATCTTCTTTTATGTTCTTCTATTGCTAGTTCTGCTAGATTATGGGCTAACTGTTTGTTTCAAAATCTTACAGTACTTCTAGCTTTAGATAGAGCACAAAGGAAGCGTTTCTTGCTAATTTCTGGTAATATTTTGTTTCGTACCCTTTATTTTTGTTTTTGTTCCTCTCGTAGTATCAGTGCTTCTTTGTTTTTGTTCCATCTAGGGCTTGACTAAAATTTTAACCTTTCTCCTTTTTTTTTTCTTTTTTTTTTTTTAAAAAAAAAACGTTTTGTTGACTTTTATGTATAGGAGATGGGTAGGGGAAAGATTCAAATGAAAAAAATTGAGAAAGAAAGCAGCCGTCAAGTTACCTTTTCAAAGCGTCGAGGTGGTCTTCTGAAGAAAGCTTCCGAGCTATCTGTTCTTTGTGACGCCCAAGTAGCCGTGATAATCTTCTCACAGAAAGGAAGGCTCTATGAATTCTCAAGTTCTGAGTACGTTGTCCTTGACTCTCCATTAGCTCTTCAATACTTTATTGCTTTGCTTAAGAAGTAGTCCAATAATAATATTGATAAATAATATTGATACCTCAATTGATCTTAGGGAATTGAACAGCTAAGAGCGAGAGTATGTGTTTGATTTTCTCCATTGTTATTTTAGGAGAAGTTTAAAGACTTAATCTCAAAATCTATTCCGAATCAGACTAATCGCAAAGCGACGTATTTATTAAAATATCTCAAAAAACAAGAAAAGAAAAAAATAGTCTGATAGATATGATATGGAAAAAAAGGGTACTATAACCTGCTTTTCTAGAGACTAGCTATTGTACGATCAATGCGTTTTCTGGCTGGTTCCATGGGTAATCTTTGTTTTTCTACGGGAGTATCAACTATTTATATATTTTTTATCAAATATGTTCATTTACATTATTTTTCATTTTTATGGTTATTTCTTTTCATATATATATATATTTTTTAGTAAAGTAGTAGATACATCCCTAGCATTAAAAATGTACTCGTATATATGGCTTCCACTGTGGGGTTCTTCTAGTGCTCTCTAATCCAGTACATAAACAATAATTGAAGATTTCACTTGAGATTGCATGACCAGAATTTCAAGTCATAACTGGCGTACGGACTATATAAAGTGTTTTAAAACCTGACTCGGACCGGCCGGGTTGACTCGGTGACCCGGTGGGTTACCTGGTTTGAGTGGGTAGTTGGATCGCTTCTGCAGTCAACCCGGATTGGATCGGTTGACCCGGCCGAAACCCGGCGACCAGGTGACCCGGTTGACCCGGGTTAGACCGGTTATTCTTATTTTTTTTGTTAATTTTTTTTTATTGTTGTTAAGAACCCTTGAATTAAATCATATTCATATTTTATGATAATATGATTAAAAGTAAGGTGAAAATAATAAGGTATTTTAGATTAGTGCAGTTCGTTTATGTAATTTAGTTGCATCTTATAATGATCTCATGAAGTTAAGTGATGATAAACACTGATGGTCTCATGATCTCATCTCAAAGGTGGACATCTTTTTTAGTGTATATTTCATGCATACTATTTGTTATCATGATAACGGTGACACTTTTTTCTTAGTGTATATTTCATGCATACTATTTGTTATCATGATTTAATTTATCCGTATCATGTCAAGCACAAAAGGTGCATTTAACTTATATTACAATTTTAATCCAATATTAGGATATGGTCTAGAGCTAGAAGCTTACAAGTATATAATATTTGCTATCATTGAAAATCAATTTATTTTTTGAAGCTCATTGATAGTTTTCTTATGTGAATTTTTATTAATATAAGTAATATTTTTATATTTTTAATACGTGAACAGTAAATCCGGTTCAACCCGGTTGAACCAGTGATCCAGTGACCCAGTACCTCGACCGGTTCGATGACCAATCCGAGTTTTAAAACACTGACTATATATCATTAAGCCTAACTAGCACAACGAAATTTTTTAACAACAATAACTTAAATTATAATAAAATATAAGATTTATCAAGTTTACAACTGCTTCCAAAAATAATGAAGTAACTACAACTTAATAAGCATTCAAAGTGCATAATAATAACTTAGGGTAAAATGTGTATCATTTTAAAGGATGTAAAGTTGTGTCATTTTAAGTGAGAGAAAAAGATAGATAAATGAAGAAAGAGAATGGACAAAAAAATATAAAGGTGTGGGTCCCACCTCTTTGTGAGAGTGAAATGACATAAGTTGTGTCATTTAAAAGGACAAACACTTTTCCCAATAACTTATTACTTAAACTTTTGTCTACATGAACAAAGTTTAGGCTCACCATTGGTTAGCAATAAAATTTGCTTGATCAATATAGATGAGTGGACTCAAAAGTTATCTCTTTGTCTTTATCTGAAAATATAAAACCATAATTTGGATGAGTTGCAATGCAATCCAGTGAGCAAATAATGATAACTATACCATGCGGGACTTGAAAACATAGCATATCTCAAAAACATAAATCATAGTATATACATTTCTTAAGGCTAAATCAACTATAGACATATCTCAATTTCATAAATCAATTCATTAATATTGCAATGTTTCTCAAGTATTCAAACACAAAATTATATAAAATTCACAAAATCCGTAATATACTTTCATAGCATTTCTCAATACCATATAAATCAAGATATTTATCAAATATTACCATAACCAATATAAATGTTATAAAAACCATTAAACAAAGTAAGTGTTGTGCAATTCGCAATCAAAATAATAATCACACAAATATGCAAGTGCATATGTCACAAGTATTAAGGGGATGTGTGAGTCAAGTATCGTTCCTGCGGAGATGATTTCTAAAGCCAGATTACTCAAGCAAAGAAATTTGAAAAGGAATAATCTTTATGGGTGGTTTTGTAAAATAAGAGACAATTAAAGTAAACTAATTAATTGTCTCCCGAAAATAGCAAACTAAACTAATTGATTGAAGTGATGCATGTGAAACAATTTAGGTTCAATTTTCCTGATGCAGCAATCCTGTAGCGATGTTATAACTATGCTCTATCAATGCTTAATTAGTAACTGAACACTAATGTATGTTGGGACTCTCGCCAACCTAACATATCTATCCAATAACTAATTACCACATTTCTATGGCTAAATTAATTAGTGAATTTATTAAGTTCAAGTTCTAAGGTTACGTGGTGTGAATAATCTCTCTACCCATAACTTAATTAAGTTACTTTCTTTTCACCTAATTAACCCAATTAAGTTACTTTCTTTTTATCTAATCGATCCACACAATTAACAAGGGTCTGGATTCAGAAATCTCCAGGCCCTAGCCTTCTCTATATTATATATGCATCTCTTGATATGCACACATGAATAAGAATAAGCAAATTCGTTGAATAACTAATTAAACATTCATAAAACAAAGTTTAGACACCTATTACAGTGTTACAACTTCGGCAAGTGCACCGATCGTAAAAGTAATAAAGTACATTGAGTAGTGAGTACAAGATCGTTACCACGAGGATTAAAATTTCAATCACTAATTCGCTATTTATGCTTAAGTTGGACAATCAATTAAGAGAGTTGAATGAAATTTGATCACAAATATTGTACGAAAACCAAACTAAATAACAAGGCAAGAAGGTAAAATTTGGATTACTTGTCAATCAAGAAATGTAGTTAGGATTTCGATTTCCCCCAATCTCCCCTTTATGTTCTGAATTAAAACCTTAATTAATCGCCCTTTTTATATTACCCATCAATTCCTCTAAATTAGTTAAAACGCAATCCCTTGACATTCTAACCCTTTACTCCCTTAAGAGAACCCTAATTCCTTAGTGTTTCTAAAAAAGATTTAAGCATTAATATCAAGAATCATAAAACCCAATGCATATGTCTATTCCTAAAGTCATACAACTTGATGATGAATGAGTCAAACCAAATTCATATACAACCATCCCTATTGTCATATACGAATCCTATTTCAATATACAAGAACAACTCATAGAAGGCATTAAGGAAAGACACATTCATTCAATATAAAAAGGGAAAGTTATATTAAAGATTAATCCAGAAACATAAAGATTCAATTGAATTCCATAAAGCCCTAACTACAAAGAAAATATAGCCTAACATGGTGGAATCAAGAACACACGAAAACAAGAAATATTTCCCAAACTCTATTAATGTGATGACACGGTGAATTTTTAATGTTTCCAGCGTAATCCTGACTCTCAAAGCATGAAAGACTCGCTCCTCCGATGAAAAATACCCTCCCGGTGTCAAGTTTTGTCAAAGATTCATGAAGAATAGTTTAAATAGGTGTAGGAATCCTTGTTTTAGGTGAAAACCACGTAATGGGCCTTAATTGGGTCACAACTGGGAATCAAACGTGTTGGAAATCGACAATCACACACAAATCGCAAGCGAAAAGAGAAAGAAAGAGAGAATTGACACTGTGAATTATCCTGGTTCACCCAATGTAGGCTACGTTTAGTTTCTCTGTACTATATTCACCTCATTGCCACTCGTTACTAGTCACTCGGGACCCCAGTTGCCTTTCTTCTGACCCCGACAACAAGGGCTCTCATCAGCATGCGCAATATGAGTCATACCCAACATTCTCCCACTTGGTGAATGCTTCGTATGTTTCTTCAATCCCAATGCGCTCTGTACACCATTCAAACTTCTCTGAAGTCACTGCCTTGGTCAGAAAATCAACACTGTTGACCTTTATGTTAACCTTTTCCAGCAATACAACCTTGTATTCAATCTTTTCTCTGATGAAATGGTACTGTATTCCGATATGCTTAGTCCTCGCATGGAAACCTGGGTTCTTAGCCAAGAAAATAGCGCCTTGACTGTCACACCCAACGATCATCTCTCCTTGTGCAAAGCCAAGCTCTTTGCACAATCTCTGCAACCAAATAGCTTTTTTAACAGTATGTGTCAAGGCCATGTGCTCAACCTTTATGGTAGATAAAGTAGCAGTGCTCTGTCTTTTACTCATCCAAGTGATAGCTCCACCGAATGAGGAAATAATATATCCACTTGTAGATCTTCTACTATCAATGTCACCTCCCCAATCAGCATCTACAAAGTATCTCAGCTCTAATAATGCCTGTCCCCTTGAGCCCTTCATGCCTTCATAGCATAACCCAAGGTTAGACGTACCATGAAGATAGTGGAACACAACACACGCTTCACCGCCTTCCAATGCTTTTTTCCTGGCTTGGACATATACCTGCTCAATACTCCCACTGCTTGAGCGATATCAGGCCGAGTACAAATCATGGCATACATCAGACTCCTAACTGCACTAGCATAAGGAACTGACGCCATCTCCTCCTCTTCTTCTTCAGTCTTGGGACACTGGTAAGCCGATAACTTAGAACCAATAGACATAGGAGTCAAAACAGGTTTGTAGTCAATCATCTTGAATTTCTTCAGAACATCCTCTATATACTTCTGCTAACTCAACCATAATCTTCCTTTGTCAC